ATTTATATATTATAAAGCTTTCCAATATAACATCCATGGGATCTCTCCAAGCAATTGTGCTCCATGAGTGTTTTGCAACCCCAGTGAACAAAACAAATAACTGAATTCCCAAAGAAGGAAGAGCTCTTCCCACTCCAGCACAACCTGTTTCCTTCCACTGCAAAGAGGACATTCCATTTCAGTGCCCCTTCTCTCACAAAGCAAACAGCAGTTAAAGGGCTGGTGAAACCTTCTGCACTAAAACCTCATTTCTGCCATGAATTTGGAATCTCATTAAGCTGCAAACAGGGCTTTGCAGCTTCCCACAGGCCTGGTTTAAATCCACGGGGGGGAGGTTTGACGTGCTCCTCCAGGGGTTTTTTATTTACTTGGGCTTTTATTGTGGGCAGAACCACAACAACCCGCGTTGCTGCTGCCAGGAAAGGCGCCTCTCCCCCGGGATCCACTAATGCAATGAGGAGGAACATCGAGCCCAGCAAAGCTGAGCTCGTCCCTCCGGTTCGCTCAGGATGCTCCTAAATCACGCCTTCCTTCCCCCCCGAGCTGCTGGAAGAGGAACCGCTCCCAGGTAAAGCCGCGGCTCCCTGGAAACTGGGAGGGAGGAACTGGGGTTGGAATCGCAGAGCTGAGCGTGGGCAGGACGGGGGGGATCTGCCACCGGAGGGGCTGAAAACCTTTAATCCCCAACATCGTGTCGCTTGTCGAAGGGAGACTGAGCGTTTTAACACGGGGATGGATGAAGGAGGCACATTCCAGCCGGGAATATATCCAAGCTCTGCGTTTCCAGCCGTTTCGGGGGCTGGTGGGTGACCACGGAGGGGTCCAGGCGCTCTTCCCGATGCTCCCGGACCACTCGATGGCAGCATTGCTTAAAAATACGGGAGGAGCAATGGGAGAGCTGGGAAAGGCTCGCTGGGAATTGCATTTCCCACCTCCCCCCCCCGAGCCCCCGACACGTTATTTGGGGGAATTGCCATAAATTTGGCAAAGGGTGAACCCCAAAGGCAAGGACGCCCTGGTTGGGGCGGAGGAGGGGGGAAGATTCCCGGCTATTCCCAGCGAATCCTTCCCCACTCCTTCCGTCCCTGAATTTGTCCAGGCTGGCAGGATCATCCCAAGGATCAAGGCAGGGCTGAGGGAGCACATTCCTGCCTCCTGCCTCAGTTCTCCCACTGGGAAAAGGGAGGCAAAGCCTTTTCAGCTCCTAGAGGAAAGAACCAGCTCTTTTTTCCTCGGCTGCTGCTGTGCAGGGAGTTGGAATTCAGGCTGATGTCTGGATTAGTAGGAATTGGGGCTGATGTCTGGATCCATTGGAATTGGGGCTGATGTCTGGATCCATTGGAATTGGGGCTGATGCCCAGATCAATTGGAATTGAGGCTGATGTCTGGATCCATTGGAATTGGGGCTGATATCCAAATCGAGTGGAATTCAGGCTGATGTCTGGATCAGTTGGAACTGGGGCTGATGTCTGGACCAGCTGGAATTTAGTCTGGATCAGAGAAGGTTCTGGAAGGGGAATGTTTGTAGTGGCATGTTCAGGTTGTGAAGTGTTGGAATCTGGGGGGATTTCACATTTTGTTGTTTTGAAAGAGGTTGCATGAAAAGGAAATCAATCAATCAATCAATACTAAGACAAATTCGTTGCTCAGCAAAACCAGATTATTGCAGGATTTTGACAGCTCATTAGCACTTGTGGGTCTCTGTGAAGGTGCCAGGGTGTGAATTCACTGGGCTCTTCCAACATTCCCCCTCCTTCCTTTCCTTCATGTGTGTCCTCAGCCCTTCCAGACACACAGAAGGGTTTTATAACCAGAGCTGAAGCAAACCTTGCCTTTTCCTGTTGTGTTTTCTACAAGGACAAGAACCTCTTCCTCTGGAGTTTCCCAGCACGGTCCCCTGGGCTGGTGGAACATCAAACACACACAGAGCCTGGTTGTCTGGGAGGAAAAACTGGGCTTATCCTTCAGGGAACCATCAGAGATGGTGATTTTCCAGCTTCTGAGGGTTTGGTTCCTCCATCTGCCCTGGCCAAGGGGTTGGATCCCATTTCCCTGCTGCATAAAATCAGCTCTGAGCAGCACCAGGAACAGGTTCAAGCTTTGCCACCTCCCCAGATTGTGGCTGCAGGTCCTAAACCCCAAACAGCCCTTGCAAAAAGTGTTTTCCTGGCTTTTTGCTCAGGAAAATAAGAGCAGGTGGGTCAAACTCTGCTTTAAATTTGGGATCTGGCACCAGTGGAGAAAACAGCTTGTTCCCAGTAAGTGTCTTCTCCTAAAAGAGCTGGACTCAGAAGGGAACCTCTGCCTGGTTCATCCAGAACAGGGAAGCAGCTTGTCCTTGTGCCCCTGAGCACAGTCAGGGAGGAGCTGGATCCTTGGAAATCCCTGGCTTTGCCAAGCTGCTCCTCAGGATTAATTTGGGAATAATCATCACCCAGCATCCCCCCAAAGCAGCTGCCTCCTGCACCAGGGGCTGCACAAACACACCTTCACCTCACACCTCTCCAAAGCCCCATTTTCCTCCAGGCTCTCACCCTGGCTTTAAGCTCAGCCCAGCTGAGCTCTGCTTTGGGGCTGCCTTTGGCAGCTGGTTGGTGTTTCCCAGGCTGGGGTGCTTTGTTAATTAATGAGTCTCCTCCTCCCAGGGCACTTTGGCTGAAGGTCCTTGGGGTTTGGAGCCTCTAGAGCTGGGTGGGTGGGGTTGGGCAGCTCTGAACTGGTGTCTTTACTAAATATAGGATTATTTTGGCTTTTTTTTTTTTTTTTAGC